TATTATCTCATTAGAGGATATTTGTAATATTACAATCATTTAAAATTCATCATTTTTTTTTTAGTGATTGCAATTCAAGAAATACTTAATTTCATCTTAATAGCAATAAGAAACATAATAGAATTAGTGATAATATTTTTTCCTTATCTTTTAGTCATACTAAGTTTTATTTATTTTCTTATATGGAATGGGGGTGTTGTTTTAGGTAAGCAATTCATTCTCACCGTACAATTAATGAATGAATTTTAGTTAATATTTTATTCATTGTTATTTAGGGGATAAGGCCAACCATATTGCAGCTTTACATTTTCCACAAATATTTTATTTTATATCTTTCACATTCTTTTTCGCTACACCTGTTGTATTTAAACTTCAACATGTCAAAAGAATTACAGTTTCTATCATATCTCAGCGGATTACCATGTATGAAATTATTATTTCAAAATTTACGTCTAATTTATTAAATAACTTCATACTTTTTAATATTTGCTCCTAGGACTATTTTGACATTACTCCCTATAATGACTTTAATGGCATATTTAATACATAATTATACGTAAGTTGTAGTACTTTGAATATCTGTTGGTCACTCAATCCCTTGTAAAACATAATCTCATTACATGTAAAATTTTAAATAGGTATGAGCATCCATTCTTATTAAGTGATAATCGTCATTACACATTTTATATCTGGAAGAATATATATCGGCGTCACCTTACAATAAGATACATCTTAATTCCTTGTTACATAGTTGCAGGTCGGATTTTATGGTTTTCATTGGGTAATTATTATTATTCTTTCAAATTTTGCCTTCTACAATGTTATGTTTTCTTTAAATCATACTGATAACATGAATTTTTTTTATTTGTACATTATAAAAAATTCACATAGCTTCAAAACAGTCATTCCTCTGGATCATGACCTATATTACAGCAACTTGTATAACTTTAATTCCATCGCCACTGTTAGAGTTCAGATATTTTATAATTCCATATTATATATACAGACTTAACATTAAGCAGCCTAGTATGGAGAGATTAATTGTAGAATTTTTAATTTACGCAAGTATAAATTATAAAACCCTATCTTTATTTTTATGGGATGGGTTTATTTGGGAAAACGAAAGTGATAATATTCAAAGATTTATTTGGTAGATTTTAATGTGGAGATAGTAGATTCGAAGGTTTTATTTATAATTACATTATGATAATAAGATAATAAAATAATAAAGCATTTTCCGGAAAATGTTTCTACGGAACCATTTTTATCAAGTTAATTCTTATACAAATAATTTATTATCAGATCAACTACGTAGTAAATATTTTCTCAAGCATCAACATAATATTTCTATGAATAAAGTTTCGTATAAGTTATAAAGTTCATATTAATCTGTTTCTAACGTTCTGATTCTTTATAACAATTTTAAAC